TGTCAGGAAAGCCTGGTTCGTACTTTGGGTGAACTTGGCGGGTTGCAACATGTGGTGCCATAGGCGAGACAGCCCAGGGCTGGCCCAGCCAAAGAAACGTGCTGTCAAAGTCAGGAGCAGCATCCTATACCCACAGGCCCCTCAGCGAGGTCAGATTTCGGCTAGGTCTGGTTATCCGGAGTAAGGCACTCATTGAGCTTGATCTGAAACTCAGCAGATGCCAGTGCTGGTGGGCAGTCCCAGAAGAAATGCTCCAAGGGCTGCCCAGCACCACAGACTAAGTTGCCCCAGCAGATGACAAAGGAAGAATTCCCCAAAACCTGGCACAGTAACTAATGAAACCAGAGATTTGGATTTGATGAGAGCCTTTTGAGAAGAGTTCAACCATTCTCCCACTGCTAGTTGAGATGGGTCTGACTGGCTTTTAAGATTTTTTTTTGGGAAGATACATATGATGCAATGTTGTTGAAAAATCCCATTTTCTATAAGAAACTAGACTAATTCTGTCTTAACCTACTGAGACTTCTGTAAGTTACTTTTAACCCATTCAATTAAAAATAACGTGGAATACAAAAACTAGTGCACAGTGCAATGCTCATGACAAAGTGTGGGGTCTTTGTCAACTATGCTGTTGCAGAGGGAGAAATACGAAGCAGAAATTCTTGGGATTTTCCTGTTGCTGCCTCAAATACAGGGCACAGGCTGGTGATGATAAAGATGTGGGCTAGCAGTGGTGAGCTCCATACAGAACAGTGATGGAGCACCACTGGGCTTTGGTTAGGCATTGCTATGGAGAAAATAATTCAGAAAAGAATGTGTTAACAACAAAAGGCAAACTTAAGTCTTTGAACCCAAACAGCAAATTTTCCTTCCCTCTTAACTCACACAATCCTGTGGAATTCATGGGCTTCCCAGTTGTAACTGGGAGAAGAAACTGACTTTTGTTGGGATGTTTGTCTTTTTCAGCTTCTTGCTGGTTCCATTCTCCTGAACCAGCCTGAATCTCCTGACAGAATGGTGCTGTTCTTGATAGTATCAAATCAAGTGTGACACCTGAACGTGTATTTTTCTTCATTTGTTTCAGCGGATCACAAATATGTGGAATTTGACTTCCTTATCAATGGCCAGTTCTTGCGTGTGCCACTGGTCACACACATGGAAATGGAAAATATCTCTACAGTAAGTCATACTCAATTTCTCCCCACCTTGGACAGTAGAACGAACTTAGCCAGATTACTTGAATGTGTTTTAGGTGTTACACTCTCATCTTGACCAGGTAGATTTCCTTGCTCAGTTTTTTTTCTTTTTGGATTTTGCCAGGATAATTCCCTGTATCTGTAGATCCATTCTGAACTGCAAAGTTGAGAGAGAGTGGGACTGAGCAGTGCAAGGAACACTGTTATCCAGTCTGTTGTCTGTATGCAGTTCAGAGGGGAAATTCTTGTCTTATTCAGTTTATCATTAATATATTTTTATCTTACTCTTATTAGTTACATTGTGGAAAAATGGGGGAGGTATATGGATAAGTACAGAAGATTGAAATAATTTGCTTTCGCTTCCAGCTTGCTATTAATAGTAATTTGACAAAAATACGGAAAGCCATATAATTCAGATAAAGTCTGTAGAAAAAAGTAATTCCACTAATGCGGCAAAGGACTTGGATACCTAAGATCTTTGATCAATAAGCTTGTATATTTGTACCACACTACAGTTAAATATTACTCTTATTGATTATAAGAAATAAAACCACACTGAAATATTTTGTCTGTGAGCTCAGGAAGAAGTGGTGGAAATAGAGTATGTGGAGAAGTACATGGCCCCTCAGCCCGAGGAATGCATCTTCCATGATGACTGGATCAGTTCTGTTCAAGCCACTGAAGAATGGTACCGTACTAAGCCACTTTAAGTTTTGTCTTATTCCTGTTGTTTGCAGAGGACTCTGGTGTCAAATGGAGTAGTATTCTGGCTCTAACATTTTTTTCCTCTTTGCTCTGTTTTTGTTTTATTTTTTTAACCTGTCATGTCTGTCAGCTACTTGCTTTTGTAAGCAGTTCTGCTTTAACACCTTTACTCTATGCTGACAGTGACTTTAACACAAGTAGAAATCAGCTGGGGCAGCTGAACATGAGATAGATACTGTTAACACAAATGGATAATACAAATGCTGTTTACTATCCTTTCTCTTAAAGACACTGTTGATTTCAAAGGTGATATTCATTAGCAACAAATACAATAGTGTAGCTTTATGTAGAGCTTTTCTTAAAAAAACAAACAATCAAATTGTCCTTTTCTACTGTATTTTCACATAAGTTTTCCAATCAACTTGGAAACTTGGAACTTCCTGTATTAAGTAATGGTGTGAAAATGCTTTGAGATCCTCTAGTAACATACCATGAACAATGAATAATTTTTAGTTTTAAACAATGTAAGCAATCTTAAGTATCACCTACGAGAATATGCAATACTCTCATTGCTCTTCTTTTTGTCCTGTACTTCTAGCCTTAAATCAATAGGTTTTAACAAAGCTTTACTCTGCAACGAAAAGATATTTTACTTTTCCAAGCTAATTCATTTCAGCTACCCAGTTACTATGCTAATCTTTTTCTAAGTTTCTGGTTGAGGCTTTTTTCATAAAAACACTCTTGGTTTTAAAGACAAGAATGTTTCAAATTCTGTACCTCATAGGATATTAACTGGCTGCTATGATCAGACTGCTCGAATCTGGTCTTTGAAAGGAAGATCCATCATGACAATAGCTGGGCATACAGAAGTAGTGAAGGACGTGGCATGGGTGAAGCAAGGTCAGTACTTCTTTCGAGGGAGTAGTAATAGTTTGATTTATTGGAAGAGAAACGTCAGCATTCCTCAGTCGTGAATATTTAGTAATCTAAATGCTACAGTTATTTCAGTCTGTTAGTGATGTTGGAAATGAAATAATGGTGTAAGTAAAGCAGTCCTTTAACAGTAGTGAATATAACTAGTTTAATATGTACATTGCCTATCCACCTTGCAGTCTTCATTAGCAAATATGGTATGTATTTTTATATTAATTGTACTTGCAGGGTAACATGATGCAAACCGAGATATGTATAGATTTCTGTCTATCTGCTATTTCTTCTTTGACTAAAATAATTACTATAGAGACTTTGGAAAGCTAAGTTGGGTGTGAGCATTACTTTTTGTCTTCCTCAGATAGCTTATCATGCCTGTTACTCAGTGCTTCTATGGACCAAACTATCCTGCTGTGGGAGTGGAACGTGGAAAAAAACAAAGTGAAAGCCCTTCACTGCTGCAGGGGACACGCTGGGAGTGTAGACTCCATTGCTGTTGATTGCACAAGAACTAAAGTGAGTGACTCCTGGGAAGAAATCTTTGTCTTCTTGGATGTTGGCAACCCGTATCTCAAAAGTCTTTTTGCCCCGAATAGATACTAGTAATCACGTTATTATGACTGACACTGATAAATTTCCCCTCTTGTTATAAGTGGTGGTTATTGAGGATTAGAAATGCTGCATCAACACTAGACCATCTTTTCAAACAAAGAGATGCAGTTAACCTCTAGTATCACAAAGAGCTGAAGGTGACTTCAGATAACACAAGCAATTATGCTTTTGACTTGAGTGAAGTCAAATGTTTATTTTTAAGTTTTTGCTATTAACACATGTGAATTTTGCATCATCATAAACTTATTTTCAAATTTGACCTAAATTTTTGCAGTACTTTTGGTGGGAGAAAGAATTCCAGTGATACTGAGGAAAAGTGGAAGAAGAGGTCCTTTCCCTTTATCCAGGAATTCAACAGTTAAAAGCACTCACATCCCAAAAGGTGGAGTCATCCCTCCCAGCTTGACTTAACATCAGACAGGTTAATAGAAAACCTTTTGATACTGAAAGAAATAGTTTGTAGATATTTTTTCCAGCAAAGAAAGGAAAAAGAATAATTTGATGTGTACCTCACTTTTTTTTTTTAGGAGCCCAGCACTGTTCTTCATGTGTTATAACCCACTGGTTAATTTTTCAGGTACTTAATGTAGTTTGCAAGGTCCATCTGGATCAACTTGTAACAAAATGTTTCTGTTCGTACAGTTCTGCAGTGGATCTTGGGATAAGATGTTAAAGATCTGGTCTGCAGGTAAGATACTTGTAAGCTGTGATTCTTGGCTGCTTTCAAAAACTGCTTAACAACTTGAAAGGTGGATAACTGAATACTTTCTCTTTAAGAAGGTTTGAATCTGTAATAATAAAGGCAAGATAAAACTTCTTTTTTTTCCCCCTTGCAAAATCACGGCTATGTATCACTGTCTTAAGTTACTGTTTTGGTTATCAACTGCCTGCTTCAGAACACATACTTTATCTCTTTCATTTATTTTAACAAATTGATATAAATACACAGGTTTGCGTATAGACTCCTTGAAAAAAATCAAAAGTTTGAGAGTTATTTTCCTATTCTATTACTGACACTATAATATGGAGGACAGTAAGATCACCAGGTCTTTTCTAGAAATGTAGTCTAATTCCATTTTGTCTGAAGGCTTTCTTTCACTGTTACAAGTTATATTTTTCCAAATTGGGAGTACATATGTATTGTATCTAAAATAATTATTGTGTTTTATCGCACACCTGAATTACTGTTGGGATTTTCCATTAGTAAGGATGTAAGATTAGTAAGTCTCATTGAGACTTCATTTTAAAAATGTGTGATCTGGAGAAGATCACTTAATTTGTATTTGTTTTCCTCATGCTTAAAATGGAGATAATACTGATCTGATCAGAGATGATTCATTCAGAGACAAGTTAGGTACTGTAAAATATGGAGGTTTGCTTAATTGCTTATATGGAAATGCAATTCAAAAAGCTCTAGATTAAGTCTGATTGTCTTCTGTCACAGTACCTACGGATGAAGAGGATGAAATGGATGAAGCAGCTAACAGACCACGGAAGAAGCAGAAAACTGAACAGTTGGGATTAACAAGGGTAAGATGAGCTCCAGGTTTGTCCAGGACTGTATTTTACAAGTGTGGCCATGCAAAATAAAAATAATATCACTTTGTTAAAAGTGACCACATGAAAATTTCTGGTGATATATATGAGGCTGATCAGACACATTTTTTTATTTGTTGAAAGAACAGATTTTTCAACTATTCAATCAGATCTTCTCTCACCTTTAAATTCTAGACTCCCTTGGCAACCCTCTCTGGCCACACAGAAGCCATCTCCTCTGTGCTGTGGTCAGATGCTGAAGAAATCTGCAGCGCGTCATGGGACCACACCATTAAACTCTGGGACGCTGAGACTGGAGATCTCAAATCAACTTTGGTGAGATCACTGTTCTTTGTCTGTAGGCTCAGCTAAAGTCCAGTTCAAATAAAAAGGTTGTGCAAAAATAGTAGCTTCTCTCCCAGTTACTGTCTTCTTTTCTGACAGACAGGAAACAAAGTGTTTAATTCTGTTTCCTACTCACCACTGTGTCGACGCCTCGCATCTGGAAGCACTGACAGACATATTAGACTCTGGGATCCTCGCAGCAAAGGTGAGCTAAAACATCCATGTTCTCAAAGTTGCTTTTTCAAATTCGGAACTTCTTCCTGTTGGTTCCTCTGCTTGAAACAAGCCATTTGAGGGCTTTTATTAAATACAAAGATTACATCTATTTTGCACTAGATTACAGAAGACTATTTTTGATTTCTCACCTAATAATTTAGAAAACTAACTCACCTTTTCTCCCCCCTTTTTTTTAACCTTACTAATAAATGTTCCAACTGGGCAGCTGCAGGCCTGAACTTTTCTTTTTTTTGTAAGGTTCACACCTAAGTTGGGCAGACCACCATAAAAGTGAAATAATAGTCACTTTGTTATAACAGTAGTACCATGTCTGACATGATTGCAGATAACTTGTGACTGAGCCTGCCAGATTTACCTCATAGACATGTTTATTTTTTTAGCTTCTATAAATCTAATCCAGAATTTAATAGAATTATCTTATATGTTAATCAAAAAAGCTTTTTTGTTTGCTTTTCTTAAAAAATTTTTTCAAAATAGTTTAGTGACAGGAAACTACATTTTTAGTTTTGCTTTGGGTTCCCTGCCCCTCCAAACTTGTGTTGCTTATATTTTTGTTTGCTTTCTTTAAAGTTCATTTTGATCTTTGAAGTTAGAATTACTGGTGGGAAAAACACCTTGAACACAAATACACTGCTGACTGCTTTTCTCACTGGATTTTGCTTGCATTTTAAAAGTGCTGGTTTCAGCTGACATCTACTGAAGATGTCTTCTTTTCCCTCTTTTTCTGTTTAGACGGCTCCTTGGTTCTCCTGTCTCTGACATCTCACACAGGCTGGGTGACATCGGTGAAATGGTCACCTACCCATGAGCATCAGCTGATCTCTGGTTCTCTGGACAACATTGTGAAGCTCTGGGACACGAGGAGGTAAAATAAACCTGCATTCTTCACTGTTCAAAGGCATGTAAGCGCTTACAGTTAGCCTAATGAAATAGCTAAAACAGTCTAAGACATTCATTGGAAACTCTTGTGGCATTTTTGAAAATCCTGTAGGTTTTAGGAGTCGAGCATATAACATAAGGAAGAAATACTTAGTCTACCAGAGGACCTGTGGCTGCAGAAGACAGCAAACATAACACTGCTATTGGGATTAGGAACAGCAGAAGGTCTGCTAACCATTCCTTTATTTTAAGGAACAAAATACATTGTTCTTCGAAGGAAGAAGCCTAACAGTGTGAAGTTTCACTTGATATTCTTTTCAGACCTTTCCTTACAAATTTCCAAGCAATTAAATAGTTTGCATTCAGAAGACATAAATGGCTTTTCTGTAAAACACACACAGTCAAGCAGCATCCACATACAGAGGAAGGAAACTTTATAATAACTGTTCCTAAAAACAGTGATTAAATTTCAGTCTCAAGGTAGTTTGCTAGCATGTGAAGAATGTCAAGCTTTTCTCTTTGAGGATGTAGGAGAGGTTAAAACTGGTGTAATCAGCTCTGGAGAAAGCAAAGAAAGTGTCACAGACAGTAGATACCTGCACTCTCTGAAAGTGTTTATAACTAGACCAGATCTGTTTGATAGCATCATGATGGTATTTCTTTCAAGGACCAATTTTGTTTTCTGTGATTGCTCACATTACTTCAAACATGTGACTGTAAATACCTATGTTTTACCAGTTGCAAAGCTCCTCTATATGACTTGGCTGCTCATGAAGACAAGGTTTTGTGTGTGGACTGGACAGAAGCAGGGGTAAGAATCTGAAGAGCAAGTTACTCAGTTTATTTGCATGGTGGTTAGGAAGAGGGCTACAAGCAGTAATGGACTTTGTTTTTTTCCTTTATGCTTAAGGATAGAATATAACAGGCAATTTTAGTAGTGCTGTGCTTGATACTGAGTAAAAGAAAAGGTGTCATTGCCATATGCACTGCAGCACTTCCCCATGGTACTGTGCAAAGGAGTAGGATGGGAGTTTAAGCTCCATAGCATTAAGTGGGTGTTACACTGATATTGCAAACAAGGAGAGGAACGAGAACAGCCCCACACCTCGCTGAGAAATTACATGTTCCAAGGTATCGTTTGCTGCCATGGAGACTAAAGCAGCATCATGAACTGGCAGCTGAGGCACAGCAGTTCATGTAGAAGGTCAATGTAATCCTCTAGAAAAAGCTGTTTTGCTTCTGTAGTGGTACACACATGTATAAAATAAGAAAAAAACCATTTTGGTACTGTTCAGGATTCTCAGTATGGCTCCTATTCTCAGTTAAAAGGGAAAGGCTTTAGAAATTTACCTGCAAAAACTTTGCTTCTAATTTTAAGAGGAGGGTACAAGGCAAGGCTGTTTCTGCACTTTTATTCTGGGTTTTAGTCATGCATTAACAGTTCATTTCTCATTACTTCTGTTAATGTCTTCAAAGGAAAGAAAATGGGAGTCTTCAACTTCTTTGTAGGTATTTTGCTTAGTTCTGATATTAATCAGAGTTTTCTTTTTCTCTTATCAGTTGCTATTGAGTGGAGGTGCAGACAACAAACTCTATTGCTACAGATACCCAGCTACAGCCTCTGATGTTGGAGCATGAAGGTCAACAGCCAGAAATTTTAAGAAAAAAAAAACACAAAAACCTTTTGCAGCAGTCACAGTCTGTTAGCATCCCTACACAACCAACATCTGAAGAAAGGAGTATTTTGTTACTCAGAGAGAGCTGTTCCTCATTTATGTATTGGTAACCTGTATCCCTATTGGTCACAGAAAAATGGTAACAAGCAGTTACAAATATAATTAGTGTGAAACAAACCAAAGGGCATTTCCTCTCTTTTTGATGGCTTTGAATTAACATCTTTTAAATGGCTATTTGTATAGCCCTTTTAATAAGATATAAGCTGTTCCTGATAGTAAAAAAATTACTCACTGGACTAAATTATTTTTTACCTGCTTTCCCTTGGAAAAAAAATAAAACTTGTATCTACAGTTCATTGATTTAGTGCTTCAATTCAGATAAAAATCAGCCATCAACTCTCCTTTCATTATGGCTGTTGGCAGTTTTTAAGATTAGGTCCTTAATCAATGAACGCAGTCTTCTTTCTAGGATAAGGATTTGTATGTTTCCAGTGCAAATGGTATGGTATAAAGAAACTTGACAGGTTTGCTGGCAGATGAAATACTCCATTTTTTTGTTACTCATAAATTAGGGCTGTAAATTACTGTGTAAGAATGTGCCTGCCTTGTGCCACAGTACACGTTACGTTGCAGGTATCTTACTCCTAAAAAGCAGCAAATGCATAGAAACAAGTGGAGGATAACACAGAGGAGGTAGAAGAAAAAATTTGTTCAGAGAAAGAATGGATACAAAAAGCTGCAATAGTTTTTAAGTTGACAGAGCATTCAAACATGCTTATTTTCTCTGCTGGTGGTCTTGCTTTTAACTCAGCACTGAAATGAAAAAGCTATTACTTATGTTTGTTAGATGCTATATATGTGATGCTAAACCAGCACATAGTTTTAACAATGTGGAAACCAAACTTGAATACTCTCACTAATGTCTATGCTTTCAATAAGTGGAAGGCCTGTACAGCACAATCAAGTGAAATGCTTAAAGTGCAAGGTTAATAATTTTTCTTTGAAGAGTAGAAACTCTGGCCTCTAGGTTTACAATACGGACAAGTTCTGAGTAAGCAGTTCAGGAAATACCAGAACAGCAAAACTATGGAGAAAACAGCAAGGATACAGGGGAAGAATCTCTGATCCCTTGGCTCTGCAAGTAATGCACTGCAACAGACTAACCTTTATTTACAAATGCTGCTTACAGGGCATTAGTTGTCTTGCCATCGTCTTATATTGCTTCCTAGAGCAATATACGCTATTCATACCTTAATATAGCAACCAATTATTTTTTTTCTTACTAAACTTTATTCCTTTAAAACATTGCTTTCTATTTGCTCCACAAACTGGATCTTACAAATACGGTGTGTGTTCATTACCTACCAAATTAATTACTTTATTTTTTGGTAGGTTTACAAAACAACACCTTTTTGAGCAGGAATTTAGTATGTGTTGGAACATTCAGCATTCCTTCCTCCCCACTATTACAAATTTGTATAATGTCACGTGAATATTTGTGGATACGCCAGTCTGTTCTAGCAATCATTGGCCTAATATTCATAAAAAGTTTAAGAAATCTCTAATGATTTTCTAGTATGAAAGCAGGAGAAAATAATATCCTCTTAAGTAATTCCTACGGAGGTCTTAACCAAGGAAAGTTTGGAGATATTTTTTAGTGGAAAGCAAGACAGTGAAGGAAGTTTGGAAACTAGTTTGCTTCATTTCCCTTCAAGACTCCCAGCAACCATTTAATCTTAAATCTTGAGCTATGTTGTGTATTATAAGAAACATCCATTTTATCATGCTCTTTTCAGGTTTGTTTTTCATTTGGGTTTTGTTGGGTTTTTTTTTCAGATGAGTTATGCTTGAGCATAGCTTTTAGAATTACTGTGGTATTTTACAGTCAGCAGTGGAGCACCTGCAGCCAAGTAGTTGATAAAAATGAGTGGATTATGTCTCATATGATTTAAGACTTGAGAATGCAAGATAGATAACCTTAATACAGTTTTCTTGTCTTCCCAGAAAGATTTTAAAAATACTTTTTAAAAAGATCATGTCACTCAGACTGTCAGCTTATCTTTGAAACATTAATATTATTTAGACTGAAGAAACCCCAGCTAGCATTGATTGTTTCAGATTCAGACACTGAATGCATTAGATCTACTACATTTGTCACCTGCAGTAAATACACAGAGTGCAAGTAGAAAGGTAGGTTTTGGTGAGCTGCACTTGAGAAGCTGGAGGGTTTTTACACCCTCTTCTTACCTTGGGTTCTTGTATTAGGAAAAGTACTGTGTCAGACAGAAAGAAGCAACTAAGTAAATGATATGAACATTATGAAGTGATACAAGCACATTTTTGGAATGCATCACAGTATTGCCACTGATACAAAGTATACCAGAGCATACAAAAATACTTTTTAGATTTGGCTGACTGACAGTTCGTAGGATAATCTGTAATCTTAATGAAAATATTTTAGTAAGAGCATTTGTTTTGCTCCAGACATACTGTTCTTCCATTTAAAATAATGATGTGAAATTAGAATGGTCAGAATGAGTCAATTTTAAAATTGCAAAGAACTGAGTCAAAACTAAATTTATTCCAGGACCAAGGTGCTGGCAGTGATTCCACTCAGAAAAACTTTTTATTTGGGAAAACCAAGCCAAACCAAAACATTTCTACATATTTGTAGTGGCCTGGTAGCATAATACAGAACAGTAAAGAACTGAACTACTGACAGCTAGTTTTCCTTATAGTATCACTTTGTTTAAGTGAGGGGAATAAAAGCAACACTCACCTACTGCAGGCTTTCCTCATATTTTTGTATCAGTAGGCATGGGGGTGGGTGGGTAGGGTTCTTTTTGAGAGGCTACAGTTAATTGTTCTATTTCATCTTTGCATTCTGCACTGACACCTGGCATAACCTGCCACACGCACACGCTGCCTCTAAATGCAGTTCAAACAACATCACATTCAGACAAAAGACAAGAGCTCACCTGCTTGGTCCTCGGTTTAGTCTCACATGGGCATTTTCTGCTCACATTTGCTTTTCCCCAGTTGGTTCTTTCACCTTTCCTCTGGCTTTGAGACTTTCCTCTTTGCTTCTGGATGATTGCCATTGCTTTCCTACAGCCAGCCCTGCCATAGTACTGGTTTTTTTTCTTCTTGTTGGCATTTTGTTTAATTTTTTAATCTTTAACCTCTCAGCCGTCTCTGAACTAGGAGACTGAATTAAGAATAAGGGGAGGGGAAAGGAAACTGAATGTTCCAGTGAAAGTGACACAAACCCTAAATCAGCATGTGTGGATAATGCCATTCGCCCTGGTTCCACCCACAAGGTCCTCAGCTCTTCCATAAAGTATGCAGACTGCCCGCCAGAAGGTGCATCAGCTCACCCACAGCACTGTGCACAGCAGCCCCAACACACACTGGTCACAGCTTTGAGACCCCCAAACTCGCTTCAGATACCCCCTTCCTCATTAAATGTTTTGCTGCTGGACCCTCTTCTCCAAGTGTGAGCTGCTGAGGGCACGGTAGGAGCCCTGGAGGCACAGGCAAGAGGAGAGGTCAGGCTGACAGGAGACACTAGATTTCTTAGGCTGTGTTTTTGATGAGTCTGGGGCAAAGAAGCAGATCTCCATCCAGCACTTCTCTGCCTTTTCCTTTTAACATACAGCACATAGCCTGGTGGTGAGGTTCTTCCTTCAAGAAAATAAACGTATAGAAAAGTTAAATGAGTTTTAAACAGGCTGATAAATTTCCAGTATAAACTCAACATTATCTCCCTGTATTTCAGCACTAGGAGACCTAACTCATACGCTTAAAAGTTATTTCCACAATTTAAGCAAAAATACTTCATAGAGCTTGGAAGGAAAAACTTACATAGAAAAAGAGATACACTTTTAATGAGAACCCGAGATACGAGGTTTTCTCCTGGATTTTCCATTACATTTCTGCAATAGAAAGCACTAGACAGGCATATGCGGATACTTCCCACAAGAAAATACACACTTCTTACACTGCTAAGAGTATCTAAGTCCTATTAATTATCAACTTTGTTACTTGAATGTGGGTATAAATTCAAGAATTTCAGAATTGTTAATGTTTTTATCATCACCGTGAACTAATGGAGGCTACAAAGTCATTTCCAAGATTGTGCGATGCTAAACATGTTTCTTTAAAAAAAAAGCAGTGGATCAGATTTGGGCAGACCTCTTCTATGACCTTTCTGAAATTTCAGCATGAGCTCCTTTCCCCTGCTGTGGGAAAGGAGAAAGGTTTTGTCAGATTAAATACTTAATGCAAAACTAGGATGTCAACACGCTTGACTTGGATTTCATTTCTACTCGCTGTCAGAATGGGGCTACTGAGCTGGTCCTCACACACCCCAGTCCAGGGGTGAATACAGTTTATGGATTATCACCCTGCTTAATTTGATGCTCTTACGTGCTTTATTGCATCTTTTTGTTTGGTTGCTATCTACTTTCTCAGATAGCAACAAGTTGCAGTAACTCGCACTACAATTCATGTGGAAAAAAAAGCCCAATCAAATCAGAATCACCAATTATGTTTGATGTAAGCACATTGGCACAGATCTCAAATTAGGAGTGAAAGATGGGTTAAAATTAATTGTCACCAAAACCTATTTAAATTGTCATACAAATTGCATGAAATGAGTGGCTTTTCAGCTGCTAAATCTGGTTTAGAAAAGACAGCTGCCCAGTCTGGATGAGTCTACCAAGCAGTCCAAATCAAGATATTTACTGTAGGTAATGCTGAAAATATAACTCAAACCACAAAAATGTAAATTTCTGTGTCAGTTACAACATTCATATTCAAAATGTCAATTTTGCATACCTTGCAGTTTATTCCATTGGGCAGCTGTGACCAACAGGGGATCAGAATGAGTTTAAATGTCTATAAAACTAAACAAATAATTTGAAATAAATGCTCTGTGATTGCTACTCAGACTTTCAGCTTACAATATAAGCAAATAAAAAAATTCTTCAAATAGTTGAAACCATCTTGGAATGCAAAGCAGAACTCACAAAAAGCTGTATGGAGAAATATGATATGCCAATTTTATTCTAGGAAAACATCCCGGTAATCTAGATTGCTTATCCAAAAGGGTCACCCTGATTACACTTTCTATTGCCTTTGGTCTATAAATTTAGACTGGGGAAGGTCTGATCTTCAGCCAGACCACAGCTGCTGTA